GCTGGGCTTTCTCATTCCTGAAATTGTTTTGGTAGTCCTCTGCCGATCTTTTATGTGCTTCTTTAGTTATATGCACCTGTTCTATCTTCTTTATGTGTTCATTTTAAATGACTTTGTCAGAGAACTCCCTGTGTAGTTGCATCACTCTTTAACCATGTGCTCCTTTTCTTATTCATTAGGATCATTTGTAATTGGATTTTTAGTTCGTTCTTGAAAGCCACTCTTCATTCTTGAGCTGATTTCCCTTCACATCTCTTGGAAGCAATCCTTCTCTCTACTCCCATAGTTAAACCACCTTAGTTCAGGCCTTCCTCACCTCTCACTTAAATTATATAATTTATAATCTCCAAATTAGTCTCCTTGCCTCAAGCTTCTCACTTCTTGAGTCCACCCTGCAACTAAAATGTAGATCTGACCATGTGCTTTCCCTATTCAGTCAACTCCACTGTCGTCTTCTTGTTTCTAGGATAAAATATAATTTCCTGTTTTGCTTTTAGAGCCATGTACAACCTAGCTTCAACCTGTCTTTCTAGCCTCATGGTCACTGGTCACATCAGCTGCATTTTGCCATCCAGCCAGCATGGCCTTCTCGCTGCGTGTTCCTCACGCGTGCTACCTCTGTACTGGCCATCCCTCATGCTTGGAATGCAGCCCATCCTTGCCTCTACTTCATAGAGTCCCTCTCTTCCTTTAGGACTTAGCTTGAACATGCTGTTTCTCATGAAATTTTTCCTGACCCCTCAAACGACGAGTGCCTTCCCTCCAAAACTACCTTATTTTTAACTGCTTTGTATATATTTGTATTTACTCACTTAAAATTCATGCTCTGTGTACTTACATCTGTACTTACTGTCTCCCCCATTAGCATGTAAGCTTTTTTTGAATTGTTTCATGCTTTGTACTTGTGTCTCTAGTACCTAGCATAGTTCCTGGCACATAACCGGCATTTAATAAATACTTGTTGATTGATTGATTGACTGATTAATTCCCTGGCAATAGGAACTCAGCTGCTTATTTTCTAAACTTAATAAATTTTACTTTGCAAAAGGCTTAGAGACATATCTTACCATGTCTAGTGTATTCTTTTTGGCTGCTACAAAGTCTACAATGACATGGTAATCTTCTCTCAAGATTATAGTTTCTGCTTCAACCAGTTTCTACTTTTTGTTAAAAACCTTTCTTGTTAGAGGATGTGTCCAAAAGTTCAATGGAGAATGTGCTAGTTTAATTTAGAACTCAAAATCTTACAAAAGTGAATGTTGAAAACTAAAAATTAAAAAAAAAAAGAATTTGTTAGTTTATGGAATTAGACTTCTGGCAGACGTCCAAAGAATCACAGTCTCTTAGTGTTTTTGTATCTTGACTCAATGCTAGTTTGGGGATCTTTATCAGGAACTGTCATCCATCTTCCTCCCCCTGGCTGGGTGGTTAGTAACATACTGCAATAATATTATTACTTTTCTATCTTTCTCTTTTTATACTACCCAAATGCTTTCTACCATGCTTTCGAAGGTTTGTGGATTTCCACACAGTTATCTGGAAATAGATAGCTCAGATAGAGAGAGCTTTCAGATCTACAAATGCTTCCACCCCAACAACCCTGTGAAGTAGTGTTGCAAATATTCCCATTCCCATTAATCTAGATTTTAACTTGCAATTCCTAACTTACTAGATTGTTGTGCAACTAGTAAGGAAAGACCTTGGTCCAGGCCCCAGGCCTGCAACCCCCATTTGCACATTCACGCACTTTGCTACCCTCACTTCAGTATCATCTTGCTATTTAGTGCTGTGCCACTGCCCGTTTTATCAACTCTAAGTATCACAAACCCTTAGTAAGTACTATAGTCAGCATTTAAGAACATACAACACTTAGATAAAGCCCAGAGCTCTTGCTGCTCCCTCCAGACATGGGAGACAGCATGTACATGGATGGGAGGTGGTGGTGGGAATGTTACATACAAGAAGCAGCTAGGTGGCGCAGTGGAGAGAGCACCGGCCCAGAAGTCAGGAGGACCTGAGTTCAAATCCGGCCTCAGACCAAACACTTGACACTTACTAGCTGTGTGAGCCTGGGCAAGTCACTTAACCCCGACTGCCTAAAAGTAAAAAAAAAAAAAGAAAAGAAAAGAAACAGAAAGAAGGTCATTTGGACTAGAATGCAGAAGTATGATGGAGAGTGTGTGTACTAAGCTAGAGCCAGTCTGAGAAGTGCTTTAAAAGTCAATCAAAGAATTTATATTTTATTCTAGAGGCAAAAGGGAACCAACCATTGGATGGAGCCTTTTGAACAGACAGGTGCTTTAGGAAATATCACTTTGGCAGTTATTTCGAGACTGGATTGAAGTAGGGAGCCACCATAGGCAGGGAGACCAATTAAGAGGCCGTCACAATAGTCTAGGTGAGAAGAGGGCCCCAGCTAGAGTGGTGCCCATGTGAGGGGAGGAAAACAGATGGAAATGGATGAAAGATACAGGGTGGTGGTAGAATCAACAAGACTTGGCAACTGCTTGGGTATGAGGGTTTAAAAAGGGCAAAATTAAGATGATTTTGAGTTTGTGAACCTGAGACAATGGTAGTATCCCCCCCCCCCAAATGGGAAAGTTTGGGAAAGGAGAACATGAGAGAAGGGTAGATAATTACTTCTGTTTTAGACATATTGATTTCCAGATGCCTCAGGGACATCCGGTTGGTGACATCCAGTAAGCAATTGGTAATCTGAGCCTAGAGCTAGAGAGCTAGATCTGCAAGTCTACATAAAGGCCACAGTTGAGTTAATGAGAGCTGATGCTTGTTTAGACAGAGAAGAATAGAGGGCCCAGGTCACCTCCTCAGCAGTCCAGGCAAAGGGGATGGGATAAGGATGATAATACAGTTAAGGAACAGCCACAGGGGTGGGGGAAAAAAAAACAGACGAAAGCAGTGTTATTAACACTCAAGGAGGATAGAGTATCTTAGACAGAAGTTATTAACCCAGGATCCATGAACTTGTCATTTAAATATTTTGAGAATTGTATTTCAATATAATTGGTTTCCTTTGTAATTCTATGTATTTTACTTTATGCATTTAAAAACATTATTCTAAAGAGCTGTAGACTTCACCAGACTGCCAGAGGGACTCATAATACAAAAATAGTTGAGACCCTGGGCTAGGAGGTGAGCTCCATTAATGCTACAGAAAAGTCAAGAAGACTGAGGCCATTGGATTTGGCAGTTAATTCTTTTGGGGGGGTGCTAGGCAATTGGGTTAAGTGACTTGCCCAGGGTCACACAGCTAGTAACTGTTACGTGTCTGAGGCTGGATTTGAACTCAGGTCCTCCTGAATCCAGGGCCAGTGCTCTATCCACTGTGCCACCTAGCTGTCCTGGCAGTTAATTCTTAAATATCAACATTTAACTAAACTCTCTTCAGTTCTTTTATTGTCTTTTCTATTCTAAAATCTAAACCTTTCATTGGAAAAAAGATAGGGCACTACTATTTATGCCTCATATCTATTTCCTGCCCAGATTTTCATAGTCCCTATAGACCTTTCCAGATTTCTTCTTATATAACCTTCACTGAATCACTGTAAGTGGCCAGTCATTATGTTTGATTAGTCTCTACAGGTTCTCTATCACATCCCCAAATACGGCAGACAAGAAAATAGCATTTCTATGGAGTATACATATGAGTGCTTTGTCTCTGTACTTCACAGTAGGGAGTTACTAGGCACCATAACTTGTCTTTTCCCCTTAGTACAAGTAACTGATTTCCTAGCAAGCCCATACTGGTGCTTCTGGGTCATCTTTCTTTTTCATGGATGCAGCTTTTCACTGAGAGGCTCCAAATGCACCCTTTTGGGGAAGTACCTCCTATCCATTGTGTAGCTTCTTTGGGCAGTGGAGCAGTGGTGGTACGTGAACAGATTTGTGGGGTGAGTTGAGTTGGGTTCCTGAGTGGCAGACAGGATTCTCCCTTCTTTTCCATCCTTTCCCTCTAAGTGAGAGTTATCTGTTGTTCTTCCTTTCCTTCTCTCTGTTGTGTTCTTCCATTCACCAACCTCCAGACCCTCATTTTGATATTCCTTTGCCTCCTTAGAATCTTTTTATTTCTGGGCTTCTTTTTAAATTGTTTCTTGAATATTATCAATGAACTTTCCATTCTCCCATCCATTCTCCTGGATTGTAGAGAAACTTCTTCACCTCCTTTTGCCTTTTCCTCAAGCAGTAGAGAAGTATGGAATTTCCCACATTGTGCCTTCCCCAGTTGATGATTTCCTCTGAAGACAGATATATCACAGTCCCAATAAGTCACCAAGCCAGTTTCCATGACTAGAAATTTTTTTCTTTTATTTAGTCTTTTATTTTTCCCTAGTTTCATGTATAAAAGTTTTTTAACATTCATTTTTAAAATTTTGGGTTCCAAATTCTCTCCCTTCCTCCCTCTCTACCCCCCCCACATTGAGAAGGCAAGTAATTTGATATAGGTTATACATGTGTAGTCATGCAAAATGTTTCCATAATAGTCATGTTGTGAAAAAAAAAATGAACCTCTCCCCCCCACACACAAAAAAAAACTCAAGAAAAACACAGAAAGTAAAAAAGTATGCATCAATTTATATTCAAACACCATTAGTTCTTTCTCTGGGCATGAAGAGCATTTTTCATCATAAGTCCTTCAGAGCACTACTGAATTGTACTGCATTGCTGAGAATAGCTAAGCACGACCAGAAATTTTTAAAAGTTAAGGCTTATAGCTCCCCCTGTGAATTCCACTGCTTAGTACAATGGCAAGCTCACTTCTTGGTGCCGCATTCCGAGAACATTGCTTGTGTGAAGCCTCAGACATTCTCTGTTCTACTCTTACACAGTTAGTAATTGCCAGTGACCAAACTATCTTGAATCTGTGTTCGTTAAGCAAACGTTAGACAGATTTCTGAAAACTAGACGGGCAGTCAGCTTGCAAATGCAGGGTGTTCATAGGCTCTTAGAAATTATTCATGTGCTGGATACCGTGTTTCTAGGTGCCATTCCCTACAATGGTGGCCTTGCTGTGTATGTGGTTTGGGATCTCTCTGCCACTGGTATACCTGGGCTATTACTTTGGATTCCGCAAGCAGCCTTACGATAACCCTGTGCGCACCAACCAGATCCCCCGGCAGATCCCTGAGCAGCGGTGGTACATGAACAGATTCGTGGGGTGAGTTGAGTACCTGTGGGTTCCGTGGGTGGCACAGGGGACAGTGCGAGGCCTGTCTGCTAGATTTCAGTTCATTTACCATTTGCATCGTTGTCATCTTCATCATAGTTCCCATTCAGGTGTTGCTATGCAGTTTACTCCAGCCCCATTTTTCAGATAAAGGAACTGAGGCCTCCAGAGGAGAAGTCACATGGCTAGGACTCATCATAACTGGTGCTCAGCCCCAGGCTTCTGACTCCAAATCTAGTGTCTTTCCACTACACCATAGTGACTTTCACTGTGTTTATCATGAAAATGGGCACCCTATTCCAAAGCTCTCTCCTTCTAGAGCTACTCTGAGGAAGAAGAAGCAAAGCTGAGTAGTGCCCAAAAAGAAGGTATACTTAAAAGAGATTGTTCCTCTCCATCCCGCCCCTGTGGTGATCTAATGAAAAAAGTGCTAGCAAGGGGGTGTGGAGATCTGGGTTCAGATCCTGCCTTCACCATTGATTCACTCACCATATGTGGTGACCTTAGTGAAGTCACTTCACTATTCTCGGCCTCAGTTTCCTCATCTATAAAATGAGTTTGTTTGTTTGTTTTTTATCTCCCCTCATTGGGAGAGAGACAGGGAACTCCTAGGAGAATATCGTACACATTGTCACTGTATTAGCCATTTTTGCTGAACTGTTTTTCTTAGTCAGTCTGGAAGGGGTAGTGGAGGTAAAATAGTTATGATGCAAAGACTAAAGGCTTCAATAAAACATTTTTAAAACTCAAGTTAAATTTTAAAAAATAAAATAAAATGAGGATATTACTCTTATCTTTATCCCATAGTGCTGTCGTAGGACTAATGTGTGATTAGAGATGTGAATGTGGTTTGAAAACATCCCCCACGCAGATGTAAGGGACCATGTGATCCATAGTGGAAAGCCAGGTGGTCTTGTTTTCCTATGATACCTTGTGCTTTTAACCCTGCCCTCTCTTCTTCTCTTCCTTTTTCCATGTAGTATCCTAATGGCTGGGATCCTGCCCTTTGGAGCCATGTTCATTGAACTCTTCTTCATCTTCAGTGTGAGTATCCCCTCCCTGCTGCCCAAACATCCCCTCTCCACACACACACACACACACACACACACACACACACACACACACACACACACACACACACACACACACCCCCTCTGGGCCCTGCAACTTTATTAGCCAAGAGAGGGATGTCCAGCTTCCAGATACTGTATGTAAAGTGGCTTTGTTCTCTTGTACTTCTGCTGCTTCTTTCCCTCCAGCTTTCATAATAAAGAACCCTGGTGCCTCTGGTATTACAAGGTTTGCTTCTTGTCCCATGTGCCATGGGAGAGGCTTGAGCCGTCATTGTTTTAGTAGTTAAGGGTGAAGCACTGCTCAGAAGTGATCACAGAATCTTAGACTAGAAGAGTTCTTAGAAATCACCTAATCCAACTCCTTTATTTGAGAGCCAAAGAACAGAACATGACTTTTCCAAAATCTCATAGCCAATAAGTTGTGGAGCCAAGACTTTAGTCTGGGCTATCTGACTCAAAGTCCAGTGGTCTTTGCACTATGTCATACAAAAGCACAACCCCAATTCAGTTCTCATTGTATCAAGAGGCTTGCTTATGTAGATGCTCAGGGAAGCTTTGCTCGTCTAATCATGTAGTTTCCCTATCTGTCCTTTCTTATGAAAAAATACTTTTAAAAGGGATTGAGTCATTTATCATTGTTGATCTGTTAACACCTTAGTGTGCTGCCTCCGTTTTTATTGCTTCTGTAACATGGGAAGCAGGACAATATTGGAGCCCCACAAAGCATGGGATAGGACCACAGCCTTGGGAATAGTGGCAGTTGCTACCTGGGACTCTTGGCTTCAGGGAGAAGGATCTCTGCTCATGTATTATAGACCAGTGGTGTCAAACTCTAAACAGATCGCTCCATCCCTATGGGCAGAATATTGACTTAGAAAACCATAAGTTAACGTCATTTTTATTGTTTTCTTTTGGTGGTGGTGGTGGTGGTGGTGGTGGGTTGTTAAACATTTCCCAGTTAGATTTTAATCTGGTTCAGGCCAGATTCCCTGACTCAGGGGCCATGAGTTTGACACCTCTTTTGTAGACCATCAGCTATCACATCTGTAGGGACAGACCCAGACCCTCAGTACCTCTGACTCTGACCATGCAGGGTTGCTTTTTTATCTGCCTTGTGAAAACTTGTCAGCTCCTGCACTAGGTCTTGCCCCTAGAATAGAGAGTGGTTTTCCTTTTCCTCTGGGACTAGGACAGGACAACAGAAAGACGAGAGAACTGGATGGGCAGGTTGCCTGAAACACTTTCCTCTCATGTGCAGGCAATCTGGGAGAATCAGTTCTACTATCTCTTTGGCTTTCTGTTCCTCGTATTTATCATCTTGGTTGTGTCTTGCTCCCAGATCAGCATTGTCATGGTATACTTCCAGCTCTGTGCTGAGGTAAGTAAGAGTGAAGTGATGGGGATGGAGAGCTGGCACCTGATTTCCTTAGCTTGGACCCAAAAGAAAAGAAGCAATCTAAAACAAATCTGGATAGAATTGGTTAGAAGCACTCCAACCCTACTCAAGTGAAAGGACAGCCTTCAGTAATCACAGACCATAGAATGTCAGACTTGAAACGGACCTTAGAATGTAGAATGTTGGAAGCAAGACGGACCTTAGAATGTAAGGCATAGAATGTGTTATGGCTGTAAAGACTTTTAGAACATAGAATGTCACTTCTGGAAGATCTTTTGGAATATAGGATATCAGAGGTAGAAGGGACCTTAGAACACAAAGTGAAGGCCTCAGATATACCTTGTTTTCAGTATCATGTCCCATTAGAGGAATGAGCCAAATGATTCACTATCTCATCCCCTCTATATATTGACCTCAGGGATTTTAGAACTATAGTCAGCCATGGAAGGTAGGGGAAGGGGGGTCTGGCTGGAGGTAGTAATTTTGATTCTCTCTTTTCTCTTCTTCCTGCTCAGGATTATCGCTGGTGGTGGAGGAATTTCCTGGTGTCTGGAGGCTCTGCTTTCTATGTCCTGATTTATGCCATTTTTTACTTCGTTAATAAGGTATAGGTTACAAACTGGAGGCCACTGCCATTTCCCATCAGCAATAGGACCATGGTGGTAGGGGATTAGGAAGAGTCAAGTTTCTGAATCTTGATAGCCCACAGGCCCAGAAGGGTATCCAGCTGTCTTTCCCAACCCCCTCTCCTATCACAATCTATTCCTGCCCCAGTTCTGTCATAGGAGACGTTGGCCCCTAATTTCTTTAGCACTTAAGTTCTTAGATTTTTCTATCAATAAATAAACAAATGGATAAATAAATAATGGTAGCTAGCACTTATGTAGTGCTCTAAGGTTGCAGAACACTTTACATAGGTGATTTCATTTGATCCTCACAATCACCATATGGGATGGGTCCTATTATTTTCCTCATTTTACAGATGAGGAAACTGAGGCTGTGAGGTACAGTGACTTACCCAGGATCACACATCTAGTAAGCATGTGAGACAGGACTCTAATTCAGGTCTTCCTGACTCCAAGTCTAACATTGTAAACCCTGTGCCACCTCACCTGGCTGCTCTGAGTCTCTGAGGGTTTGAGAAGAGAGCCTCTTTATGGTGACACTGAAAAATACCTTAAGGGGCAAGGTTGCATGGACAAAGACTTGTTCTCCAAATTTAACAATAGATACAGAAACTGAGGCCCTTCCAGTGTGAAAGAGGTAGCTAGGGAGCCCTGGCTTCCAGCCCTGGTCAGCTTCTAGCTTTCCCATGTGACCTGTGGCCAGTTATTTCGTTTCTCTCAAAAAGTTTCCTCATCTGTGAAATGAGAATGATGCTTGTACCACCTGACTTACAGTGTTGCTTTGAGGAAAATACTTTTAAACCTCAAAGTGCTGGAAAGATGTAAGCTGAGAGATCTAAGCCCTGCTGTACTGGTGTCGGGGCTCCCCCAAGCCACCTGCCTCCCCTCTTGTATAGCCAGGTAACAAAAGGCCCTGATGCTGGGCCCTTCTGACAAGGCCTTCCCTCTGCTTGTCTGTCTTTCCTCTAGCTGGACATCGTCGAGTTCATTCCCTCTCTGTTATACTTTGGCTACACGGCCCTCATGGTCCTGTCCTTCTGGCTGCTCACTGGCACTATCGGCTTCTATGCAGCCTACATGTTTGTCCGCAAAATCTATGCAGCAGTGAAGATAGACTGAACATGAAACTCGCTTGGCACAAAGAGACAGACCTGTGTGTTTCCTGCCAGGAAGGAAAGGGGATTCCTTTCCCTGGTCTCCGAAGGAAACCAACCAATGGGGATTGATGAGTGAAATAAAATAACTCCTGCTCGTTTGGAATGTCATTTTTGGCACAGTGTTCATGGATCCTGGGGCTACTTGGGGTGGGAGGGACATGTAGATAAACCTTGCATTTTATCATATTATTCCAGTTCTATGGGGGACTTTTTTTTTAAAATTTCTAAAGCTAAGAAATGCCCCTCCATTCATAATTCTTTGGCTTGTTTATTTTTCTTCCCTCGATTTTACACAAATGGATTTGAGATTGGAAACATGAGGAGTCTCCAGGACACTGAGTTTTGGTCACCAGGGCTCTTGATTTGGGGAGAGCCTTTCCATCTCCTGCCCCGAGAAACCACCTGGAGTAGGAAATCCTGAGACACCCAGGGCATTTTTGAGGCTGCTTTTCATCCATTTGATGGGGTTCTCCCCTTCATCCCTGGTTGTGCTTTCCGTGGATCCTTACGAGAGCAGTTCCCACTCTGGAGATGGGCCATTCTGTCTCCCCAGCAGCAAGTGCCCTCTGCCTCCATCTTCCACCCATCCTGCTTCTTCCTTTCCCCTCCTCAGGCTGTGACCCTGGATGTTCAGAGACAGAGCAAGGCAGGGAAGAGCTTGGTGATGTCCTCTCCAACAACTAAAACTCAAGCCCTGTCCACTGGCCAGAGGAAGGTCAGAGTTGAGCACCAGCACCCATGATGTGAGGTGAAAAAACCCAGATGCCGGGATGACAGCATTGTCTGGGCAGCCGGATCTCCCTGTCTTGGGGACTGGATGAGAGGAAGAGATGTCTTCACACAAACCAACCAGTGTTTCTGTGGTGCCAAGAAACGTGACTGAGCAGTGAGCCTTTCTGTATTGCTTTGGGAGGGGAGGACTTTGGTGAGTGAGTGGGTGGGGAGGCTTTGAGTCCATTTCCTCACTTCACTCTCACTTAGGAGTCATCTCCATGATTCAAAAGGGCTGCACTTTTACATATGTTTTGGTAGCTGTTCTCACTACTGTTTTTAGGCCCTCGAGTTCTCTTGTGGACAGGCCAAGAGAGGAAACTGGTTTCCTTATTTTAGCTCATTTTGGTGGCAGGTTGGCTGAGGAAGAGGAAAAAGCCTTCCTCCAGTCTCCAGGGTGTATCTGACAACCAGCTTCCCTCTCCCAGGCCCCCAATCCATCTATCCCCAGGCTTTAGAGCCAAGTCTGAATTCTCACTTTTCTCCTTTGCAACAGTCACAGCCACTAAGTTAAAATGGAGAGCAGTGAAGAAAGAAGGTGAGTCGGAGTGTTCCCCCAAATATCGGAGGGAAAAAGAGAAGCCCTTCCCCATCCTTCTTCATTGAGGCAGGCAAAGTGTTTTGACATGTATGGACAAGTGTGGCCCTTCTGCAGACAGTGACCTTAGTCATTCACACAGACCTCATAGGAATAGCTCTGTTTTCTGCCCTGACCAGTTTCCCTGTTGTATGTTGTAAGAGACCACACCAGACCAGAATTAATACCTGGATGGGGGCACTTGGCATTTTTCTCTTGCCCTGTTTCCTTCTCGTTGGTTCCCACCACAGAACAAAGCTCAGGGTTGTTTATAGATGGCTGATTGATTTACTATTTTAAGAGAGAAGTGAGGTTCCCCTCTTAATGTCTCCCAACTCCCCCACCCACCAGCTACAACCATTGAACCTACTTTACAATCCTGCCTAATAACTCTTTGGGGTTACTTTGTAACACCAAAGTTGGACCAGCCAAGGATCAAGATGGGAAAGGGGAACCAGGGGATAATCGTTAACTGTGATTTGGAATCTCTAATTCATTTAGATTTGGGATATTCTCTCTAAGAGATAATGCTGGGATGGACTCCTCATGGAGAAGTTCAAACCATCAAAGGTTTTTCTGACTTTTTTTATGGTTTTTAATTTTTAATTAATATGTGTATCTTTTTGTCCTGTTGTAAATAAATATGCCATTGTCCTGTTGTTTTGGCTCTTGGGTCCTGTGTAAGTATTCTGGCATCTTCTCTTTCCTCACATGCGAGGGTGGGGCAAGCATCCCAGAGCAGGCAAGCAGAGGCAAAGTAATTTTCCATAATTTCCTTCGGAGACCAGGGAAAGTAAATTTCCATAATGCTAGGCCAGTGCTACTTCTCCCCACAAACATGAAAGTCCACCTTATTCCAATTTTGTCAGGTGCTCTCACTCAGCCTCTCAAGCCGCACTGTGAATGAGGCTGCACTGTGAGAGGACAAGGGCGTGGGGGTTAGAGGATCTGAGGGCAGACCTGCTCCGTCACTCACTGCTGAGATCCAGAACGGCTAGGTGACGTCATGACCAAGGTCATGTCACCTAGTCTTTCTGTACCTCAGTTTCCTTTTAGATAAAAGGAAAGGAGAACATTAGATTAGACCTCTGTGGGTCCCTGAGTCTAGAAGCCAAGGTCATGTAGAGTTCTGGACTGGAAGGCAGAAGGTTGGAGTTCACAAGATCACAGCTCTCAAGTTGGAGGAGCCCTTAGAGATCTAATACTATATAATCTCCTCATTTCAGAGAAAAGAAAACTGAGGCCCAAAGAATTGAAGTGACTTGTCCAAAGGTCACACAGCTAGCAAGCAGTAGCAACGCTGACCCCTCTGGTTCCAAATCCAGACCTTTTTCTTCTGTACCAAGTTCAGAGCCATAGGCAAACCCCTTTACTACCCACAGCTTTCTCTTCTGTAAAGAGGTAATAATCAATGAGTTCAACCCCCTTGTTTCTGAGGGGAAGAAACAAGTCTGTCCAGAAAGGATCATACATTTAGAGCTGGAGGGAACCTTAGAAATCAACCTGTCCAAACCCCTCATCTTACAGATGAGGAAACCAGGACCCAGAGAGGGGAAGTGACGACCAGGATTGACATAGCTAATGTCTGAGGTAGGATTTGAACCCTGGTCTTCCTGATGCAAGTGTAGCACCCTATCCATTATACCATGCTCCTTCCATTTTTTCCCTTGCTTCCCAGGGAATCTCTGTTTTCTAACATTTACCTGCTCTTTGGCCATGTTCTCAGGAGTCTCCTTCTAACTTAAATATGTATTCCTTTCTTTGTGTAAGCCAGGCCCAGAGATAAGCAACTTCTTGAACCACAAGGACTGTCCCTGCTCAGGGCTACTGAGATCTCTGAATTAAGATGACAGAAGCTCCTTTAAAGCAAGACCAAAGTCGTTTTTCTTCCCTGCAGCCACTGAAGTCACATTAGAATGTCCTCCTTGTGCTCACCTGTGTATTGTGCTCTAAGGAGTGTGTCTGCCCCTCAAAATAACAATGATCACACCTGTTTCTCTAGCATTTCCCTCGCAGTCTCCTCATGAGGTAGGTAGTACAAGTTACCATCATTTTACAAAGTAAAATGATGCTGTGAGGATGAGGTGACTGGCCTAAGTTATGTGCCTAGGTCGTCTGACTCCAAATCCAATGTTGTTTCCCCTGTGCCGCGTTACCAACACCTTACCTATAAAAAGCAAGTCTGCTTCTCCTTTGGAAAAGATACCTACTATAGATATCTGGCCATGTCATTCCCTTACTCAAAAACTAACAGCCCTGTGTGGCTGCCTCCCTTGCTTATCCTGGCCCTGACTCTTAGAGGAGACAGAGAGGGAGCAAAAGACTAATCGTGATGGGGAGTGATACAGGGCCACCAACAAGAAATAACTCCAGTCAGAGCTCAGCAGACTTGGCTTGGAATTTCATATACCCAACCTCAGGCTCTTTCTCTTTCCCACTCTGCCACCAGAGGCTTGGGTTGAGGTCAGCCACAGGGTCTGAGTTAGAAAGGAGTTCAAAAGCCATCAAGTCTAACCCACACCCGACCAAGAAGGCCCTCTATCTACCCTACTGCCCCTGACAAGTAATCACCCAGCCTCTCTGCTTGCCTCCAGTAAAGAGGCACCCACTACCTCCAAAAGCAGTCATTTCTCCATTAAGATATCTTCTTTATACCTCAACCAATCCTTCCATGGCATGAGCCCGTTTATCTTCTGGATGCCCTCTACCTTGTCAATGTCCATTCTAAAATGTGACACCCGGACGTGTATGTAATAGAATGAGATCATATTTGTAAAAAGCACTTAGCACAGTGCCTGGCATATAGTAGGCACTTAATAAATGCTTATTCCCTTCCCTTTCCCCCACTAATAGTTCAGATGTACTTTGAGCAGAATGCAGGGGAACTCTCACCAACCTAGCTGTGAATGCTATGCCTGAAATTTCACATCTCTCCATCTTGGCTGCAAGAGCATGAGACTTTGAAAGTTGTATCTGTCACGTTCCTCAGCTCTGCCAGTCTAATAGTGAGATGCTAAGTAGCCCCTGCTGACCATACCAGGAGCTAAATCTGTTCTGGTTCCTGAACAAATGTTTTTCTCCAGTGTGAAGTAGACAAGCTTTTCTGTAGCTTCCCTCCTGCATGAGCAGGGGTAGTTGGACTGGAAACTTTACAGAGCTTCTAGCTCAGAGAGTCTATGGTCTATGACATTTCCATTAGGGCAAAAAAATTTCCAACTTTCCAGGAAATCAAGAAAAAAATAAAGGTTGTCTTGACATTGGCCAGAGGTACCAATGAGAGCCATCTACAGAAGTTCAAACAGGGAACTGAGTCTGTCCAGTGTATTCCCTGGATTGTATATGAGAGGAGGACCAGCAGCAGTCCAACTGATCAGAGGTCTTCAGTTCTTCCCATCCATGTGGTATATAGGCAAAACAGCATTGGATTGGATTCAGAAGACCTAGATTCAGATCCTAATTTTTCAAGTACCTGGAACATAACATTTAATTAAGATATTTCATTTTTCTGGGTGTCTTCTGGCTGTAAATCCTATACCTGAGCATTGGAATAGTCAGTCAATCAGCCACCTATTAAGCATCTACAGTGTGCCAGGCACTGTGCTAAGATCTGGGGATACAAAGAAAGGTAAAAAAGGGAGAAAAAAAAAACCAGTCCCTGCTCTATGAGGAGGTCACAGTCTAATGGAGGAGGAAATGTACAGACAATACAGGAAAAACTGGGGATAGTCTCCCTGCAGAAAGTGGTGCTTCAACTCTGAGA